ACAGTTGAGGCACATTCGAGGTCAAGTCAGTGGGACTAGGGAAGCAGCGAGGGCCTGAGCTCCAGCACAGCTCCCAGGCAAGCAGGAGAAGCTTCAACAGAGGCTTTTCCCAGTTCTGCCTCACCAACCAAACACCTGCACACAGTCAGGACTGACCTCCAGCACGGGCAGCCCAAACTGCTGGTAAGGGGCTGAGGAGCACTCAAACAATCCAAGTCCAACAAGCTTAATCAGCTGTTGGAAATTGCAAGTCAGAATCAGGTGGTTTAGTTCAGCTAACAATAGGCCTAAGCCAAAGCATCGTCACACTAATGAACACCCTCACTTTGGATTCTTATGGTTAGTAAGTACTGAGAGAAATAAACGCTATCAGGTCTGGAGGTGGTGGCTCCTAGTCGATGTTCCAAGCTATTCTATACCTGTCTCCATTTCCTTTACTAGAGTTTCTTAATTTAAAGACCTTTAAATCATTTTCATGGATATTACTTCTGAGCTCTCCATAGCACAAAATGATTACAAAACACACAAAAAAGATGAATGCTTCTTTTTTAGCAGCTAGCAGACTGCTGTGTTTATGGAGGAAAGCATTCATAATGTAAAGCACTGTATAAAAAGAATTTGCACGTATCATGCCCCCTGTCGTATGCTTTTCTGGCATCTTTGAGTTACAATTAATTCAATAACCAATTTCAAGTATTAAACATTTAACAATCAACCCGAATGTAAGTCTATGGCACCCTCTTGTGTTCAATAACAATATAACAGTTTATTTGATTTTGAATCAAGAATCAGTGTGTTGTTACTCAGAAAAAAACTGTTGAAAACAAATTCATCCATTAAGTTATGATTAATATTTTTTGTACTAATCTAATACTCTGAGCTACGTCTATTTTATTGTGAAGATCATAGATACAAGATTAAATAGCTAAGAAATTAATTCCAGATAGAACTGAATAAAGGATTAAACTAAAGCCTGATATACATAAGCTCTACTCTGTAATGATGTAGCATGTTCCAAGAATCTAGTGGGCAGAAGGCTTACATTAAAACACAAGAAAGAAATTGAAAATCAAGAAGTAGAAACACAAACATGTCAATGAGCAACATTAGTAGACAAAGAAAAAACATGACTATATCCTTAGAGAGACAGGCTAAGATTATCCTAACTAGATTCCCAGCTAACAAACATCCTGTGACTTAGTGAGGTGCCTAAAGTTATCCCGTGTCTCAGAGTCTTATCTATGAATGGAGATCCTTCCTGGGTATGGAGAGTGACTTCATTACTATTTAGAATATGCTCAGATACGTCAAGTGTGCCATGGTAGAGGTTACACGTAGTCAGAAGTCAAAACGCTGATTCATTGTTTACAACTGTACTAATTTCTTACACTCAGCCTCTTCTATTCTAAGCCCCAATATTACTTCTGGATATTAGGAAAAAAGTAAACATGCTCACAAGCGAATGAGCCTAATAGAACACAGGTGAGCACAGGGAGAAGAAAAGAAGGCAAGGAAAAATAGCACAAAAACCATTGACTTTCTTGAGCTAGTGATACTAACATTTAGACATCTATTACTAAGGGAGGAAAACAGAGAGATGTTTAGTATGATTTATACCCTAGTCTGCTTTATATTGCACTTCTACATACAAAAATCTCTTTATCCAAGTATTCAATGAGATGCATAGATAGAACAACTCCAGATAGTTCTTCTCTGATTAACCCTCAAATCCAGTTCTGTACATGGAGCTTAACCATTCTGTTGTTCACCACTTTCCAAAAGAAGCATCTGGCTGGGGTCCTCTAAAATTTCAAATGTGAAGAGATTAGGATGATCTAAAATTGTTCCAATAAAATGCAGTAGTGTTACAAAACTGTTTAAGATTGTTACTAAAAAAAAGCCCTTCCACTCCCAATCAGAAAAGACTTGGGAATTGGTACTAATGGGAACATCAAATCCAACAAGACAACCAGAAACAAACCAAAACCAAACCAAACCAACTTTATTCTGTACCAAACCCTCAAACGAAAATGATTCTTTTAAAGGTGTTTTACCAGTTTTGGCCGGGATAAAGTTAATAAGTTTTTCATAGTAGCTTGTTTGGGACTACATTTTGAATTTGTGATTAATATAGCCTTGATAATACACCAGTGTTTTACACTGGCTTACACAGCTCCAAGGCCTTTTCTGCTTCTCACCCTGCCCCACCAGTGAGGAGGCTGAGGATGCAAAAGGAGTCGGGAGGGGACATAGCTGGGACAGCAGACCCCAACTGACCAGAGGGATATCCCAGATCACAGGACGTCGTGCTCAGCAGTAAAAGCTGGGGGCGGGGGGAAAGAAGGAAGTAGGGACTTTCAGAGCGATGGTGTTTGTCTTCCCAAATAACTGTTACATGTGATGGAGCCCTGCTTTCCTGGAGATGGCTGAAGACCGGCCTGCCAATGATAAAAGTAATTTAGAAATAATCAAACAAGGCTTCCTTGTACTCACTAACTCCACTGTTATTTTATGTTCCATTTCACAGTATTAGATGCAGAAAAGAAAGTGAAACATGAAGGTACTTATTTCATCCAAGGAGGGAAAGCTAGGTCTAATAGGGGTGTTTCACCATTTATTCTAGCGGGCACAAAAGACGCTAGAGCCACAATAAAACAAGAACTCTGACAAGAGAGTGCTTGTGTGAAAGACAGCATGAGGGAGAGAAGTATTCTTGAACATGCAATAAACAACACTCAACACCACTTGTCAAAAAATATTTTAATTTTAACAAAAGCCCAGCATCATCAGTCTCACACATCAGAAGTTATGGAGTGACATATAATGCATTCAGGTGTCCTCATGGAAAGGATCAAGCCCATACCAGAGGATCACTTGAGTTTCCATGATTGTTATGCCGTATATAAAAATATTTTACAATTTCATATTAAATATCAGTGTTATCTGTTCAACATAAATTGTTTCCCTAGTGTAAGTTTTTTTCCTCCTAAATTAATTTTCAAATAGTACAAAACAATGTGTTTGATACAGTAACAAGTACCTTTTTTCCCCTTGTGGAGAAGGAAAACTTAGTAAGTTACATCAAAAATACTTTCACAAATAATTCCAGTATTTGAGATAAGCAGTGATGTAATAACAACATTAAGATGTAGAGATGATTTGATGTGACCAATTCCACTACTCTATATATGGATCTGCCTCTAAAGGAGTCCAAGTTCTCACATTCTTTACTGTCAACTAGGTAATATTTGCTCATTGCAAAATCGACTTAATTGTTCATAATCCCTTTTGGATATTTGTAAACTTAGCACATGGGAGATGAGAAGATGTAAAAAGGTGTTAATTTATTTTTTGTGTTTGTGTGTGGCTTATTTTAACTAAGAATCAATTATGCATATGTTTCATTAATTTTCATTCTCTGCAAGTCAGGAATCATCTGCATCAGACTGTATTGCTTCTATCATCCCTTCTGGCTTACTAACCCAAAATTGCTATGTAAGGTTTCCAAAATCAAAAATCTGCTCAGTTCTACTGTTGAAGGTAATAAAAGCCGTTACATTGCCATTTGATCAGACTAACAAAGCTGAAGATTTCAGAATCCTAATCAAAAACCATTTACTTGTTACAACATTCTCATTGAATTTACAAGCCACTACTCTTCTTATACAAACTTACATTGTTCTTATACAAACTTATACTACTCTTCTTATATAAAGTCAGACACTTTAGGTATTACCACCCTGCTCCTTTTAAAGAGTCAGGGCATATAATCATTGCCAGCTGAGGAGTTACCAAGAACTTATCATGAGGTACACATACAGTTTGCATAAACAGAATCATATTCTATCCACATTCAATATGCATAGCAAAATAGAAAAATGGCTCAAACAAGTGAGTGTATTAACGTGCAAAGAAAATTCTTAACAGAATTTGGGAACTCAGCATGTAATTTGCCATTGTAATACAAGCAATGCTTTCCATTCCACAGTCAACTGAGGCATCCTGTAGTACTTTACCATGAAAATCTAAGCTAAACTGGTATTAAAAATAAAACAAAATTGGAGAGTGCTCACAAACAGGTATTATTTAACTAAGGCACTGAAAGGTTTAGAACTGGACTAACCCTTTAGTTACCAGTAAACACAGTGGTTTTGAATGCAGACTGTCAGCAGACAGCCATCTTTGCAGAATCACATCCAATGAATAAAATTTAGTTATGGCTTATGCACAAAGGTTTTTGAGTATGACGCAATTCAAGCTGTGCTAACTAGTGAGAATCTTCATTTGCTTCAGAAGGTCATTAACAATGCTAGGTGTTTGATTTTTTGCTTCCTTAATTCACCTCTACAATACATAGAAAAAAATAAATCTTTCATGAAACAGCCAAAGTAATTCATTGTCTATCAGCATCACCAAGGATCTTCATCCACCTACAAGGAGTAAGAATAAGAGTGAAATTGAATGCCTAAGTGTTGACTGCACTGAAACTTACTTGAAAGTTTTGAAGACTTAGTTTTATGTAGGCAATAGAACACAATTTCTCTATACTTCAATATCATAACGATAGATTCAAAAGCAATTTTGTTTTGAAAATATTAAGCAATATTGCTGCAAACCCATTAATTTAGCTTCATAAATGTTGAACAGTCTCATTACTTTTAACTATTACACCAAAACATCATCTGTCTTGCAATTAATTCAGAGGACAGTGACTGTGCCCACTCTATAGGAGTACTCCCTCCCAAGAAACTGTATTTAAGCTGAGGTACAAGTGCAGTTAACCATAGATAGTTCTATAGATACAGTACTTGATATTGTTAAGAGCTGGATCCCCTATTCAAACATATCTTATGATTTCAGACACTGTATCCAGTAGACTACTTAGGGAAAAGATGTAAATGTGTATAAGAAACAGAAACAGGTATATATACTGTTAACAATAAGAGGTTTTACAGGTTCCAAATATAATGAGAGTTAAGCATGCAAAACTTAAGCACTTACTAAGGCTTGACACTGTAATATTCTTCTGGCGTCACAATTTTCAATCCACCGAAGTAGTCCAGGACCCAAATATTGGTGATGTTGAATTTGGCAAAGAACCAATTATGATCCTTAGGCCAACTTTCCATTTCAGGGTGGCGACTGAATAATGCTTTTTTTGCTAAGCCTGCTTCTGAATCATTCACCTAAACAATAACCAGCAAAATATTACAGTAAGATACAGTCATGGGAAGACAAGTTTTAGCTAAAAAACACTGCTGACTGCAGTATGCTCTTTTCAGTTTAGCCATGTCTTGTCCCAAAGGACTCATTAATGTGGCAGAGTTCACTCATCTTCAGTGTGGTGTACAACTGTACATGAGACAGCCAAAAACTCCAAGGTAGTTGATTTTAATATTAAATCAAAAGTGTGCTTTTAAAGTAAGCATGAGCAAGAAAACACTTCATCAACGAAAGAAATCTTTCAACAAATCGCAAAACAGGTAATTATGGGTTCTTGCTGAATTACTATAATGCAATGTTTTAGGTGTGAATTTACCTCCTCCACATCTGCTCACTGAAACAGACACAAACAGATCCAAACTGTTCAGATCCATGCAAACACACACACATACACACACACAGAGGATGATACAACAGAATCTACAAAAGAAGGGAAGATGAAATGTGTGACAGCACTTAATATACAATGTGCAAACATTTAAAGGGTTAAAATCAACAAGTTCGATTTCTGGGTATAGTACAAGAGGAACTAATTAAAATAAACAATTCCATATTGATAAGAAACTCATGACAGCAATTATTGCTAGAGTGTAATGAGAAATATCTGAGGTGTGAAAACACCAAATAAGAATTTAGACTATCATACGAGAGAGTAATGATGATTAGTCCTCATCCTCAATCATTATCCTCAATAATGGGATTAAGATCTTCAATGAATAACACGTGCAGTTTGGAATTCCTTCTACGGAACACCAAAGTACTGGCGCATGAAAGAATACTGCCCTGGCAGCAACGATGACAGGTAATACAATGCACTGTAACTTTATAGCTGAGGTTAATATTTACTTCAGTGAAGTTTTGGAAGCACATATGTCACGCTGCACAGACCAAAGAATTCAACTGAATAAAAGAGATGGAAAAAACATCACACTTAATTCACAAGAGAATTGTCTTAGACTTCTTAGTTTCAAAACAGGTCTAGAGGAACAAGTGAGATTTCCTTCATTACAATATTGTCCTCCCAAGTTCCTTACTAAAGACATGCCAACATAGCTCCTGTAAGTATCAAGTGGTAGCTTCATTTTCCACCCACAGAGGTAGTCCTCTGGTATCACAGCACATACACAAACTATGAGGTAGTCCTCTGGTATCACAGCACATAACATCTCTTCATATACTTTCATACAGAAATTCTAACCTTTCTTTTGTCCATCCACTAAACAATACTATTTGATGCATGCAATATTGCCCAGTGTCAACTTTCAGCTGCTTACCTTTACAATACTGCCACAGAAGATTATGTGGGCACAGAGGGGATTCTGGGGATCATATTTGTGCTTCTTGCAGTAAGGAGTCTGTGCCAAAGACACAGTTAAGGATGCATTTGAATTGATCTGAAATGCAAGTAGTAAGATAAGAGGTTTACATGCTTTTGCGAGAAAAATGTCATAGCCACCATATTTTCAGCTTTTGGTATTTTATTCAGCTCAGAGTCACTGGTAAAAAGAACAAAGCTGTCACCTTCTTTTCCTAACTACTTTTGAAAGCCTACTTAGATGAGCTCTGAATCTGAAAGAAAGCCCAGTTTAGAAGTGTGCTGAAGTTTGTTAGCATAAAATGAAAACCTCACAAAACAGCACTCGTTAACACTCTGAATTCAATGTACAGTCTAGCCATTTCACATTCAAATAACATTATATTCCAATTTACATACATACAGGACCGTACAGAACACAAGGACATACAGTGAACTCATTACATTAATTCTAGTGGAAGGAAAAAGGGTTACTGAAAAGGTAACCAACCGAGTTTCACAACTGTTGATAAACTTAATTAAAACAAACAACCCCCCCATCAAAACAAGCCTCCTGGCTGTCCCCAAAGTGGTCCACTCTTCTGAAGTTTAAAGTGAATTTTATCAGTTAGGTTTTAAAAATTCCTGTATATTTAAGTAAGACACCTAACTTGAAGAATTAAAGATTCTGTATCCGATTGTTTTTCTAAAACTATTTGGTGAACGCGGCTTGAAAAGTATTGGTGCAAAAGAGGATTGCCTACTGCACAACGTCACATACCAAAGTTCATCTCCCAGCAACAAACATTCACGTGCTTTGGGAAGTTTCATTAAAAGAGCTCATCTCAAAAAGAAACCCCCAAAAGTCACTATACACTAGGCAGAGTACCACTGAACTGATAAAACACGAGCAACCACCTGACAGATAGGAAGTTGCTTAACTACAAAAAAGCTGACTCATGATTATTCAGCACTATCTCCTATCAGATGTCTCCTGGACACGTGACCATCACAGTCAAATGTTTCTGCCATGTAACAGCAGAATAAGGATCTGACCCTTCTGAAGGAAAATGTTCATTAGCAGTTTATACCATGATTTTTATGTTACTCTGAAAATGAAAGGCTGTAGCTGGGGTGGAGAACTAGGTACTATACAAGATAAATTAGGCTTTCTACAGCACTTAGATACATAATTAAACTAATTTAACGTAACAAACTAAAACCTGAGAGGGAACAAACAAAAAGGGTTTCTGGTAAAAGAAAGTCTGAAAAAAAATCCATTATTTACGTTTTGTGTTTATTTGCTTTACTAATACTGTAATAGTTACTAGAACAAAAAAGTTTTCTAATAAAGGAAGCATACTGCTGCTATTTCCCTAACTTTTTAGCCAACTCCCTCTTGACCAGAGCCAAGCAAAAGGGCTGAGACAAGGCTAACTACGCACACTCAGAGCCTTAGCGTGCCAGTCTGCTGCCTTTCGTTTTCCACTTGCCTTTATTGTAAGCTCCAGAGATTTAATTACTATTCCTTCAGTAGCCTGTGGAGGAGCCCTCTTTGCTCAAGTCCCGCACTGCCAATTTCCAGTCCTTTTGATATTTTTTTTGTCACATTCCCCCTGTTTAAATATTCTGTGGCCCCTCATTTCTCTGGTCAGTGCCTCTGGAAGCTTCAGCCACTTCCTCTACCAAAGTGGTGTTTGGCATTTTTTCAGACCACGTTCAGCAGAAACTTCTTAGCAGGACTACTGAGTGTCAACACAGACAGCACTGCTCATGCTTAAATGTTCAAGGGCTAATAATTGTCCCCAGGGTTCACAAACGAGGTGACACCCACGGGACAAGCAGTTGGTGCCATGACACTGTCTTCAAAAAGGCTGCTCCTGCTCACCTCCAGGTCCTGCACGGAGATCTCCATGTCGGTCAGGTAAAGGTAGGGGACACCGCTGCCGCCCAACGGCCCGGGGGGCCCGTCGCTGAGGGAGAAGATGTTGGCGAACGGCTGGCCGCGCAGCCCCTCCTGCGTGGAGAGCGTTGCCAGCGCGCCCCAGTCGCAGTTGTGCAGCACGAAGCGCGCCATGCGGGCCGCCTCCTCCGGCGGCGGAATGGCCCCACCGGCCGCCGCCACCGGCGGCAGCAGCAGCGCCGCCACGCACAGGAACGACAGCTGCGACAGCCCCGCCATCCCTCACCGGCCACCAACCGCCACCAACTGCCGGTGCTGCAACGCACTGTCCCCAACAGTCCCCGCACCACACGGGGAGGGGCGGGCTGCTCTGCTCTCCGCCAATCGAAGCAACCCTGCCTGCCCTCCTTCACCAATAAAGGCACGCCGGGGACAACCTTGCGAGTGGCAAATTAGCCTGTCCACTGTCAGCCAATGGACTCACGATGTCCTCTCCCTTCAGCCAATGAAAGCTGCTGAGAGGCGGGGACAACCCCCACGGCGTTCGTCGGTTGTAAACAACTGACAGCGCTACCTCGCTGCCGGGAGGGGAGGGAAAGGGGGCGGAGACACTGGTAATGTAGCAGCCAATGAAAGGCCCCTTCAGAACTCTCTGCCAATCATGTTTCGCGGGCGGCCGGCAGGAGCGCCTCGTCCTCGCCCATCGCGTATATGGGGGAGGGTAGAGACGTACGCAGGTTCAGTAGCGGCCGGGGGGTGGTTGGGTTCGGCAGGTGGCTGAGGGCGCGGCCGGGCACGGGGGCTGTGGAGGTTCCTGGAGCCGCTTGTGCAGGTGGTCCGAGGCGGCCCGCGGGCAGCTGAAGCAGAGCCGGTCCCATAGAGCGGTCCTGCCCACTTTCTGCCCCCCAACTCGCGGGGAGCCGGTCCGTTTTGCAAGGTCCGAGTGACCCGGTGCGGGTCGTGGCATCTGCATGGTGCCTGGCAGCTGCACCCTGGTTTGTCTGGCCAGGGAAGCTGGTCAGATCCACAGGGTGGTTGTGGCACTATCAGCCCCGCTATCCGTGGCTGCTGCGAAATCAATCTCAGAGGCTGGTTCTGTGTCACAGCAAATGTTTGTGTCCCGCTTCCCTTGAAGAAAACCTTGTTTAATTAGAGCAAGCAGGGCCTATCGCAAACTGGTTTGGACTGTAAAGCTGATAGGATCATGTGCTGCCAGGCATGGCTCAAGTCTTGCCACTTGCAAACGGCCAGACGTATGGCAAATCCATCTCTTCTACAAGACCTGGTTTCGCTAGTTGAACAACCTCTTGGCCTTCCGTGCATTACTTACAGAAATAAATACTGAGGTACACCTCATTTTATCTGTCGCTTTGTGCACGGTCACCTTACAAAGATTTGTATAAGTAAATGTTTTTAACTGGGGTTATACTGAGACTTGATTCAACTTTTCATAAGAGATGGGAGGTTTCAATTTTTCCACTTTAATCTTGTCGAGTATGTCTATGCTACCTATATAGCAATGTAGCACAGAGAAACCCAAATTCACTTTGTGTGACCACCACCTGCCCCTAGGTGCCCATAGAACCCATAGCTTAGAGCAGCCCACAGGAATCATTTCATTAGGCTGAATTCAGGAAGGAAAACACACCACACATCCATTCCTTACCGTTTATGTAATGTCCTGTTGTTGTGTACAGGCAGAATAAAAGAATTTTTCCTCCAGTATTCCCCTTGCCCGCAGAGCATGGGCAGAGAGCCCGACTTTGCTCCCGGGCACCTGCACACGGAGCCTTCTGCTGCTGCCCTCTCCTGGCGATGCTCTGGAGAAACCCGTGTTTTGTTGTACCTGAAAAGCCAAAAAAAAACCAAAGAAAAAAAGGTTTCTCTGAACACCTGATGTGCAGCCACTCAGCTGGGTTAGGTAACTGAGCTTGTGAGTAGCAACTGCTCCAGCAACAAAGGCGATACAAGCTGCCTTGTCTGTGATATAGGACAAGTGATATTTCAAGGCAAAGTGCTAAGGAGAAAAAGGGCAAGAAAAGGAGCGATGTGTGAGAGAAAAGACTGCGCAAAAGGTTGTCGTTATTACGTATGTAAGATTATACAATATATTTAGATGAGGGGCAGGAAGCGAACATGCTGAAGGGGAAAAGACAGCAGCAGGAGTGAAGAGTATGGAAGAAAGAGACAAAAATGGTCTAGAGGAAATGGCTTAGGAAAGAGAAGGGGATGAGGAAGACAAACTGCAACCAACTCTTTTCATTAGAGATTTTGCTAGCTGAACCAGAGACATTATAGCTTCCTCTTTTCTCTCCCCACCAACATGTGTGTGCATACACAGAAACTGCTTGTTTCTCTCCATTTTCAAGCAGTCCTGCCCTCTGAGAACCTGAAGGGGGGTCAGTATTTACTTGACGCAGTCAAAGGGATGAGTGGTAGAGGGAGGTGGCAGGGGATGAGTGTGTGAATGATTTTACTGCAGAGCAGGAGAGCGTTACAGGGAGCAGACAGGAGGTGGTTGGTGGGGTCAGCACAGGAAAGAAGGGATGCCATGGAGAGTATGTGGAAGTAACAACATGTACTGCAGGGCAAAAAAAAGGATAGAAAGGAAAGAAGATAAAGGGCATGTGGGAAGAAGAGCTGACAATTATTTTTTATTTTATTTTGTTTCAGATAAAGAAAATGCAGAAAGGGGAAAAGCCTCCATGTTCTGGAGTTTAGATGTATTTGCTGAACATGGCCATCCCTCCTTCACCAGGAAGGGTGCCCGTTCCTGGAGCCACACAGCCCCTGCAACAGAAGAGTCAAAGTGAACCTCTTAGAGAGCGTGAAAGATCATCCTACACTTTCCCTGCTACCACTGGGACCATACAGCGGGACCTTAGAGGCCAAGAGAAAACAAGCCGTCCAAACGAAGTCTGCCAAGTTTTCCTCGCCTCTCCCTGCCCCTCTAGCCTTGCAGCACGTCCGCAGCCCTGCCAGTCCACAGCCGCCAAGGGGTGCTGCTGCCCAACCCCAGCAGCCTGCAGGATTTTGGCTGACGAGTCTGGTGGGAATTCTGCACTCAACAGGATTTATGGAAGCAAATAGTGTTAGCTCTCTGCTATGGAGAACAGGATTAATTACGCTGAGTACTCTCCGCATTGGCAGTGCACACCGGCTGTCTTGCAGATTGCACTGAAAAAAGGGGGCTTGTTTTGGTCCTCTCTTTCTTGGATGGGTAACATGGAATGAACCTGTAGGGTGAGGGATAAGGTCTTTAACTCTTTCAGGTTGCTCTGAAAGGATGAGTTATCTGAAGTAAATCTTCAGGCTCTCTTACTTCCTCAGCCAGATCTCAGAGAAAGGAGAAGGATTATCTCTGTTGTGGTGCAATGTGTCTAGAGGCTCCCAGCATCCTTGCATAACAAGGTCAAGAAAGTATTGCTAGCCACTAGTTCTCCTTTTCAACTCATGTGCTTATTTACATTAAAAAATGTGTAAATAGACAGTAACATCTCACCATAGATTGAGCCAGTTTACTCCCTCCAGGGGTTGGCCAGTTCATGGAACAATCTTAATTTCAGTGTGGTTTACACGCCGTGGGCCTCACGCTGAATCTGGGAGCTGTATCTCCAGAGAAGGTGTATTTTAGCCAGAAAGTGGGCAAGGTCTCCATCCTGGCTAGTGTCATCATGCTCTGTCTGCCCTTTTCACAGCTGGTTTTGCCCTGAGCCAGCTTTCTTTAGATAGCATGGTTGTTGGATGGGGTGGGCAAGGTTTTTCTTCAGACACAGTCTAGCTATGTGCTGGGCCAGGCTTCCTGTCTAGATCATGCAGTCTGTCCATTAACAGAAACCTTTATTTGTCCAGATAATACTTGGAGGCTGTGCAGTCTCGCTGTGTGTAGCACTTGATTTCTGAGCCAGGCCAGCTCTCCGCATCCAAATGACAGCCACCGTGATTAAAGTCTCTTGCCGCTGCGTTTGACAGAAGCAACTGACCTGTGAGTCAGCTCTGGCAAAAATTGAAGTGCTCAGTGCTTTGAAGTGCCAATGCTCGGTGCCACATGAAACCCAGCATGCAAATTGTTTCTAAAAACGTTGGTTAGATATCCTTCTGAGGAGATATCAGCACTGCCGAACAATGCGGTGCTACTACTATTAGGAAATGGCATACAACACAGAACTTTGCTGAACACAAAAAGGTGTTGCGTGCTTGTGTATAAAGCAGGTATTTGTTCCCGTCCTCAAAGTTCCCAAATTAACTTGGTTGGGAATTTAGCTTCTGACCCTTTAATCAGTGTACTTTTTAAAAGATAGGTGAAGTGAATATAGCACTGGCCTGGTATTCAGCTAAAAGTCCTTTTACCTTTTTAACAGCCACCACACAGGCAGTGGCCATGCAAGCTTCCTCTGTGCAAAACCCTGAAATGTTGTTCAGCTTTCAGTCAAAAAATCTTGCTGTTCAGTTGACACTTGGGCTGCATGCTGAGGAAGCTGTTGCGAGGGCCAGCTGTGACACCGCTTTCTAGGATGTTGAGAGAGGGGCAGCAGGACTGGCCTGAGAACAATATCATCAAAAACATGGTTGTATGCAGCACAGATACCTGGAATTGTGTCAGCACCATGTTCCAATTTTTTTTGTTTGTTTATACTCAGCCTTGTTGTGTATTAAAGCTAGTAACTGGTAGAGGAATTGTTGTCTAGAAGCAAGCTGTCAATGCCTGATGCTGATATTTGTCCCATCACTATATTAGTATAACGGGATGCAGCCATGCCTCTTAATACCCCAGCTCAGTTTGTTCTCTGAAGTCAGGTGGATCAGCAGTGAAAGAAGAGCTCTCCAAAGACATTTGGATGCAAGAGATGACACTAGCTACCTGTACGCTGCCCACCAGACCCAGGTGGCCTGCTATGGATGAGGGTGGTCTAGATCAATGTGATCTCCTTACGACAAGAAGAGCCACTTAGGCAAAGCATCACAGGTGAAACGCTCCCTGTATGGTACAGCATTTTCCTAACTTTACTCTACCTAGGGACAGGCTTTTACCTAGAACCTGGGTGTTAAGAAGCCTGGTAAATCTGATCCGTGATGTCAGCACTCAGGCGCATGCTGACAGTCAGAAGGAACACGTGAAATGATTCAGTCTTTCGGTTAGTCTCTGTCACCTACGTTTTATGCGGTCACCATGCAACACACACCGTCTTGCATTCCCTGTCCCATATGGCTTAGTGAGAATCACTTGTAACTGTGTCCTTTCATTTCATTCAAGAGTCTTTGGTAATGGGGCTTTCCCA